TTATTTTTAATTTTTTAATTTTTTTTATTAAGGAAGATCTGGTCTCTGGCTTCCTGTTGCTGAAAGAGAAGCCAAGCTTCTCTGCTTTTATAACGTTTCCTTTTACAAAGTCATTTCATGGAAGCAGCATGCGATACATGAACACAGGGGAGCCTAGAGCTGTCAGGCAGAGCACTACTAAACAATAAAACCAGCTGGAGTGAGAGAGATGCGTGATCTTTTTACCTAACAATGAAAAGAGTGTGGTCATTAGACACGGGGAAAAAGCTTTATCAGACAAGTAAACTATGCCCGGTAATCACTGGTTTAACCTCAGCTTGGAGCATTCAGGTTCATGTCTGCTGCTTCATGTGATCTGCATATACTGCAAGATGTGCCAAAAAAGATCTTCCAAAACTGGATGGAGAACAAACCTGGGAAATTCCCCGTGAGCACTGTTCAGTAATTAAGCCCTGCTGTCCTCCAGCTCATTGGTTTGATTATTTTAGTTTGACATGATAGAATATAGCAAAACCAGACCTCTTCTGAAGCATCTCTCTTCTCTTTGCAGGTTTGCTGACAATGGCATTGGCCTGACCTTAGCGAGGTAAGCGTGACACAGGTTGTGCCACAGCCTGGGGCACAGCTGGTGGGGACAGGTGGGAGCAGCCCCTTCACCTCCAGCTCTTCCTCCCTAGTGGTGGGACTTTCCCTCATGATGATGGCTCAAAGCAAGAAATCAAGAACAGCCTGTTTGTTGGTGAGAGTGGAAACCTGGGCACCGAGATGATGGGCAATGAGATCTGGGGACCTGGTGGCCTGGATCACAGAGGAAGGACCCTCCCCATTGGCCCGTAAGTTCAACTCAGCACATCAAAGCGCTCACTGTTCCCACTCAGTGAAAACTCCAGCCCAGTGTGGTTTCTTCAGCACTGTTCAGTTTAATAAGCATTACATAGAAAGGATTTGGTTTCATGTCTCCCGATCCCAAAGTCCTCACTGTGCAGCTGCTGCTGGCAGGTACATACTTGCAGGTTGCCAAGACAGAATCAAACTCCTCTTTCCTTCCCCCTCCCCTCTGCAAACAGAGTTGAGAAGACAGCAAGAGGACTGTGTGCTAGCTGGGCACTTCTGTATCTGTGGTCAGCAGTGGCTGAGTGATGTGGCAGTCTCCATCCAGGTCAGCTGCCAGGAAAGCTCACAGGAGCCTTTCCCTGGGCTTGAGCTGGCCCAGATGTGGTCAGAGCTGCTGTTACTATTGCTGCTGTGCTACAAGAATTTGATGCCTTTGTTAGTTTTGAAATGGCTAGTGAACTTCATGTGTGGTCTCTTCCTAGACCTTAGTCCTACAGACTGGTTGGCAAGTGCAATAATGTTTTGTTGTTATTCCTAAAAATATCCTCACAGTCGCCCTAGAGTGAACAAACAGCTCAGCTGATTTACTCTTTCTGCCACATTATACGCTTGTCTTGCTTGTCAATAGTGATACAGGAGGCTTATTAACTACAGTACTAATGAAAACCAGATATGCTATGGCTCTCCTTCTAATATCCTTGACGGATATATGTGGGCATATTTCTTCTTGGGTGTTGTGTGAAGAAACTCAGAGGGACAGAACAGGAGCAGGCAAGTCTTGTCTAAGGGAAACCATTCATATGAGGAAGGGATCAAATTTATTTATTGTGAGTGAAATTTGAAACATCTCATCTTAACCTCTTAAGGGGTTTAAGTATCTCCTTCACTTAATCATTGTGAAAAATGGAGCCTTCTTTACTTTGCAGATGGTATCAGAAAAGGCTATTAATAAAGGTTCATTGGTCTGCCCCTTCACCTCTTTTCAACCCTATAGGCTGTAAGACCTTTCCTTGTTTTCCAATCCATTTTTTATTGCAGTTGAGTTGCACTCTTTCTCTCCAAGATCGTTTGAAAAGAGTGGTGGGACTTCTTCTAGCCCTACCCTTCCTCAGCCCAAGGAGCCTGCGCAGCTCTGATGAGTTTCAGGTTTCCCTGCTGCAGAACTTGTTTCTGATAGCAAGCACAAATTTATTCATTTTTAGGTCAATGCTTTGGCATTGCTGTAAGTTCTTTCCCTGGAGGAGCACAGACCAAAGAAAGATGATCTGTTCAGACACAAGAGAACTTGGGCTGAACTTGCAAGGATAAGAGGACTTCACAGACCTAAAAAGGAGGAAAATCCCTTCTCTTCCAAAACATGAACCCAGGAGTCATCCTAAGGGCTGTAAAAAAAAAATGCAGGCAGCTGAGAAACTAGTGCTGTGGGACTGTAGATGTCTAGAACATGTTCCCAACCTCATGGTATTGTGTCACGACCAAGTCTCTCCTTCTCCTCCAACTGTGTTTTAGGGATTTTCCTATTCGAGGGATTCAGTTCTACGACGGGCCGATCAACATCCAGAACTGCACCTTCCGCAGGTTCGCGGCGCTGGAGGGGCGGCACACGAGCGCCCTGGCCTTCCGCCTCAACAACGCCTGGCAGAGCTGCCCCAACAACAACGTCACCGCCATCCGCTTCGAGGACGTCCCCGTGAGTTGGCCTCCTCAGAACGGCCTGTTCCAGGCCGCCTGTGAGTGGAGCTGTGGGCAAAAAGGGTACAGGAACATTCAGGAGAAACGTGAGGTCTTCAGGGGGTTGCCCGTTGTCTTTGCCAGAAGTTTAACAAAGAGGGTGGCAGCTAAGAAAGAGAAAATTGGATGGGTGAAAGAAGATGGAAATAGAATTCTCTGGCAGGTTTGCAGGAGACAAGAAGCAGGCAACAATTTAAAATAAAATAAATTTAAAAAGTGACATTCAAGTGAGAATAATTTCCATTTCTATATGTCTTGGAAACTTTGAAATAGGGAGAAGATCTGCTCCTTTATTTTCAACAGCTGTAAAGCAACAACAGAAGGAAATCTGTTGTGGAAGGTCAAACTCACCTAGAAGTAGACAATACTGATTTTGGGAAACAGCCAGTGAAACTGAGCCATGCAGGGTAATTCTGCAGCCCTGCACACCAGGGTAATTCCATGGACTCCAATTCTGCAGACATAAATGAGAGCAGAGCCCAGCCAAAAAGAGCCTGCCAAACTTTGAATTACAGTATGAACTTCTGGGTGCTGGTCTGAACCTGCCCTGGGGTCTGTGCTTTTGAATTATTTTTATGTTTGCTTGCACAAATATGTGCTAAGTGGTTCGCTGAGGTACACCTCTAGCAGCTGTTAAATCGAATTGCCAAACATTACAAACAAATAAATAAATAAAGTGGTTAGGATTGAAATTATTTGGGTTGCATAACTTTCAAAAACTTAGCAGGCTTGCTCACATGTCAGAAAAAGTGCTGACTGGAGCTAAATGGGATGGGAAAGGCAAAATCCCCTAAAAGCGTTGGTTGGTCACTCTCTCACATTGCACCAAGCAGGCTGGTGGCATGACATCTATTTATACTGGATAATAATGTCAGTCAGAAGTTGGCTGAGGAGCCTTTTCCCAGGGGAGGTCACTGATTATTCCCAGCATCAGTGTGCCTTTATATGGCTTTGGAACCTTACAAGTATGTTAGCAGGCAATGAATGAAGTGGCTCTAGTGAAATCACCTCATCTCCTGAACCTTCCTCCAGAATTTTAAAACAAACCTTCTTACAGCTGAGGCTCAAATGCTGGTTGTTTTAGCCTTTCCCCCATGGTCAGCAGGGGAATCTGTGTCTGCTCTGTGTGACAAATCAAACGTGCCTTTTAAGTGTGTGACCCAGCTCTACAATGACTTCAGGCTTAATGAAGAGGTAGTGTGCAGGCAGAGGCAATCTTAATATGCCTGTACCAACTGGCACTGGTGGCCCTGCCAACTAACAAGACCAGCTCAGCTGAAAGTTGTTTTGGTGCTTCCATCTTCGGATGACCAGTTTCAGAGGCTCATGGTTTTATTACCACATAAGTGCCATCTCAGAGGACCTGCAACTCCAAACTTTATTTGAAGTCATGGGGCCTCAGAGGCATTGAACATCAAGCTGACCAGCCAAAATTTGTGACCATTTAAAGAATGGTGATGTTAGTGCATACACAGATTTCTTCATGCACAAGTTGACCCACAAACCCAACACTGTTTCTTGTCCAAGCTACTTTCCAGTGCCAAGTGAAGTCAGAAAATGGGTCCTCTGAGACATGGGTCCCCATAACCATGCTGTATTCAAAGTGATGAATTCCTTTCTGGAGATGTAAATGTGTTTAACTCTTTTGTTTAGATTACCTCAAGGGTCTTCTTTGGAGAACCAGGTCCATGGTTCAATGATCTGGACATGGATGGTGATAAAACATCAGTTTTTCATGACGTAGATGGTTCTGTGTCAGAATATCCAGGCTCATACCTGATAAAAGAAGATAACTGGTTAATCAAGCACCCAGATTGCATTGATGTCCCTGACTGGAGAGGTTCCATCTGCAGTGGACACTTTGCACAGGTAAAGCTGCTTACAGTATCCTTATCACTTTAGTTTAAATTTCTCAACGCTGTACAGCTTTATCTTTAGAACTGGACTTTCTTCAGGGTGCTCAGGGTTTATTTATCTGCACGTCTGCACAGGTAGTTTTTGGCATGAGGATACTATGGTGCATTTTCAGTTACTTTGGCCTCAACTGCTAACAGCTCTAACAACTTCTGCTTGAAGTCCCCTAAGAGCTCCATGAGCATTAACAGATTAATATTCATAAGTCTATGGGCTGTCGGCTAGTTATTTTTCCTTGATTTATGGAGGGAAGCGTTGCCCACAGTGTTATGGGAAATGTGCTGTGCAGTTGAAATGAGACATCAGTTCTCATGATTTTTCATCCTGCTGTGTAACCACCAAACCAGTGTTCCTACCACACGAGCTCGGAGTGCTGCTGCCTTGAGAGAGTCATCACTTTCCTCTCATGAGTAGCGCCTGTTTTTGTCTTGGGTGTTGCAACAGTTGTTTTCTTTTCTGTGTAGTGCCACTAAAGCCAATTTCTAACCACTGAGCTAGTTTTCACGCTTCTACTGAACAAGAACCCTTCTGTCTGGCTTTCAGAAGTCAGATGTCTAAGGTAGATACTGCCCCACTGCTGAGGGTCGCCACTAACGCTGGGGAATGTCAGCCCTACTGCAGGCCTGTTTGAAGCTTTGATTGGCACGTACTCTTGCACTCAGTGATGGAAACGATCCTTCTTTCTTTTCTGAAAACCATTTTGTTGGAAAGGAAGCCTAATAAATTGAATATAAGTGTACGGCATGCAGGTCGCTGCTGTAGTCACAGGGCTTGCACCAGTTCATGTCCACTGAGTAGCTGTGCCTTTAGTGTTTTCCTGTAGTTCATTAAAACCCTTGGTGATCATTTTTTCATCTAGATATACATCCAAGCCTACAAGCCAGCCAACCTGAAAATGAAAATAATAAAAAATGACTACCACAATCACCCGCTCTACTTGGAAGGGGCTTTGAGCAAAAGCACTCATTACCAGCAGTATCAGCCAGTTGTAACTCTCAGGAAAGGCTACACCATCCACTGGGACAAGACAGCCCCTGAAGAGCTGGCCATATGGCTCATCAACTTCAACAAGTGAGTGATCTGACCGAATTCCAATATCGCAGCCCAGCAATAGAACTGCACATTTTTAATGGGTGAGGTCATCACCTCATGAGCTCTTCCAGGAGGAACATGCTTGTTCCAGGAAGTCCATTGCGTTCACCATCTTTCCATTTGATATCTCAGATTCCTGTTTCCTCTCCTGGGAAGTCCTGCAAGATAACATGGTTCATTTGTACAAGCCTAGAGCTAATTCACTGCTGGTGCATGACAGCCACAGGTGTAGAAGTCAGGAGCAGATCTGACCCATGTTGCTTAACTTAACCCATGGTTGTTATGTCTAATTTATGTTGCATCGATTCATCCCAAACCATTAAAATTTTTACCAGCCAGGAAAAAATGGTTACATTTCAGAGTGAATTATTTAGTTTGGCTTCTAGCATGCCCAGGAAAATAATAGTCATGTGTCAATTTGTTATAATGTGGGTCTTTGCTATTTTTAGGAACGACTGGATCCAAGTAGGGTTTTGCTATCCTAAAGGGACGACATTTTCCATTCTCTCAGACATCCACAATCGTCTCTTGAAGAAAACGTACAAGACTGGAACCTTCTACAGAACCTCTCAGATGGAGAAACTGGAGCACAGATACCCTAGCAAAGGATACTACTACTGGGATGAGGACACTGGGTAAGGACATAGGCCTTGCCGATTTGGACACTGCTTTGGGAAAGCTGCTGCAAATGTCAACAGCTTCACTAGTGCCATTAGCTGGGATCACAACAAAACCAGAAAGTCTTTCTGGGACTGTGACCAGTGTTTAATTTTCCTGGGACTCCCACGGCTGCCAGTCATTCACAGCCTCTGCTGCACTGCCAGTTACTCTGGGAAAGGTTTTGCTAAGTGAATACAAATTAAAAAAAAAAAAAAAAAAAGACAATAGTAAAGTGCAAACCATGAAACTGAACAGGAGACACACCCAACCCTTTTTGTTTTGAATAGCAACTGTTTATAAACCCCATGACAAGAATGCAGAGGAACTAAAAAGTGTAGTGTCTGTTAGTTTCTTTTCAAGAATTAGAAGAATGGGAAAGAAAGATCCAAAATACAAGGCATATATTTCTACATGAATGTATCATTATACAATGGAGCTCAAAGGGAGTTCAGGTGTCATCTGATTTTTCTGTCTTAAGTTCCCTGACCTCCCCAAACCATTTATGAGATGTGTCTCCACTTTTATTTTCATGTGATGTGTTGAACCCTATAAAATGCAGACATTGGCACGGAGAGCATGCAGTGCACATTATTGCAAAGCATTAGGAAGGAGTCCACCAAAACTGGCAGTTGGAGGGTTTTTGCACAGATGTCTCAAGGATGCTGTTTAATTTTCTGTCCTACCTTCAGGCTGCTATTTCTGAAACTCAAAGCTCAAAATGAGAAGGAGAAATTTGCTTTCTGCTCTGTCAAGGGATGTGAACGGATCAGGATCAAAGCTGTGATCCCAAAGACAGCTGGTGTCAGTGACTGTGAAGCCATGGCCTATCCCAAGTACATTGAGACTCCCATAGTAGAAGTACCAATGCCTAAGAAGCTCTCTACTGCACAGCTGGTAAAATGGTTGATTTCTTATCACAGAATTCCTGCCAGTGTAATCCTGTACTTCTGGCACATATTGTGCCCACAGACATAGAAAGACTTTGCACCAGGTTCAGTATATCCTGTGCCTAATTTGCTGAAATAGTTCAGGCTTGTGAACTGATATGAAAGATTCTTGCATGTGCAGAGAGCACAGGTCCTCAAAGGATGGAGCCACCCAAGGCTTTGGTTAAGTTGGATACTTAGTCTTTTGGGACTCTGTCATGATGTGCTGTGCTTAAAAGCACAGGGTGAAAAGTGATGAGCTGGAAGACAGGTTGGCCTAGGGAATGTGATTCTGGAGAGACACAAGCTTCCTTGCATGGCCTCCAGCTCCTCCAGGCTATAATAGCAGTGTCAGAGAAGTGACTGCATAGCTGAGTGTCTCATTCATATAATGCATGACGCTGTCTCCTATATCTAATCCAGTCTGGTTCTAGGGGAGGGAGGGGGATATTTATCAGGGTATTTTTTTTTTTTGTTTTC